TGTGTTCATCACATCCTGCTTCTAATCAACATTTTACCATTGTTTCATGGATATAGACGAAAGGCTTGTTAAGGAAAAGAGATATCACCTCATAATCTTCACTTAATGTTAAAACAAGTAAGAATACAAACATGAAGCCTGCTAACAGCAACGCTACACTTTTGTCATTCAGTGCCCAGCTCAGCCATGTCTACCTGAATGCTGCGGAGAAGCTGTAGCAAAACCACAAAATCATAAGCTGAATTTGAATCCAGTTTATCAAAACTGTGATTAAAAGGCAGGCTCCAGGCATCTAGGGAATGAGTGAGAAAACGGAGCAGTTCGTTGCATTTGTGCTAATGAACCCAGGACTTGAATAGCATGAGGCATTTCTGAAGGGAGGCAGGAAGGACAGGAGGCAGCAGAGAAGGGCAGCAGGGTAATGAGGGGCAAGGCCAGCTAATCCTGAAGAAAATCACATTGTTTTCTTCACGTAGGTCTCTCTACGAGTGGTATGTGTCTACTCCCCACTTCGTTAGTAAGATGACTACAGTGAGACAGAGTGCTATGGCACTACTGGGGGTAGAAAGTAGAGCCTTGGAGCGCTCCACAGGAGGAGCTTCATGACTGTGGAGGGAGGGAGATCAAGTACAATGGCAGCAGGGGGGAAGGTTAGACAGTGAGGTTAAGGAAACTGTTTCAACAAAGGTGAGAAACACACAATTAAATTAACACTAAAACATAGCAAGAAAGGAAACAAAACATAAACATACTCTAGAACATGTTTTTTTCCTTTTTTTTTTTTTTTTTTTCTGGGGAGGAGACGGAAAAGAGGAAAGAGAGGTGCAGTTTGCCCAATCAGAGCTGATTTTTTTTTTTTTTTTTTTTTTCTGCAATAGGAAGGGCAGATTCCTTAATGGCCAAAATGAAAATGCCAGTGGGATGGCAACGCATAGTTCCTACTCTATGGGTTGCACTACACATTTTCATCTTGGCAGGAAATGTGATGTAGCTCAGAAACAACAATCCCAGAGTATATTTAGCTACTAAAGCTGTGGCACACAAATGTCACATTCCCATGAGTCAACCCTTTTAAAGAACCCCCTCTTCACGCCCCCACAGATATTCCCCAAGATGCCTGCACTGAATTAAAAGTGAAGCATATGGATGGATGTGACATCATCAAAGCACCCGTGTTACAGAAAAGAAAGCAGCAAGTGGATTCTGTGCAATTAGTACAACCAGTAAGCCGTCTGTGAGCACAGGAAAAGAAAGAAAACACTGTCCAAAGGAACAGACACAACCAACGAAGAACAACACAGAGCACCTTGCAAAACAAAGAGAAAATGGAAAAAAAAAAAAAAAAAAGAAATTACTTTTTCTTTGTGAATGTGTGAAAGCAAAAGAAATCACAGCAAAAGTGAAAACAAAATCTTGATTTCCTTTCGGATAGTAACATTTTCTGATTTAATTTTGTGTAAGGACTCTTTCCTTTGCCCTTTTAAAGCAACAAATCAATAGTAATTTTGGAGCCACCTGGCTCTGACTGGGCAAGGCAAGGAGTAACAACACATGAGTAGATGGTAATGGTAAACAACCATGCGGTCACCTCTGCCGCCATTGTCTTGATTGCATGTAGACTGCTTCCAGCTTTGTCAATATTCATAATTAGGCACTAAAGAATGCATGATATTTAGATGACCCTGTCAAGTGCTAATAAGGCTCTTTGGTAACCATCAGTCCCTGGGGAGGGAACTATTGAATGTAAGCCACCTCATATCAGTCAGTGAATTGAAGTGAAAATGATTAGAATCCAACAGCTATACATTTATTAATATTTTTACTGCATGCTCTTCTGAAACCTGCTACTGGCATACAAGATGCTTTTAATAGCCAGCCTTCCATCTATTAAACATTGCTTTGAAGAAGATTTGCAAAGTAGGGACCCACACATAACAAATAGTGCCATTAAAACACATGTGTGTCTCTGCATTTCTCTAGGTACATAAACAGACAGATCTTCCACTAGTGGTGGTTTCTGACCCTGTTTGATGCCAGCAGAAGGGCTGGATTCATGGATTCCCTTCCTCCTTTCCTTCCTTTTCTTTCCCTCCCTTCCTCCCTTCCTCCCTTCCTCCCTCCCTCCCTCCCTCCCTCCCTCCCTCCCTCCCTCCCTCCCTCCCTCCCTCCCTCCCTCCCTCCCTCCCTCCCTTCCTTCCTTCCTTCCTTCCTTCCTTCCTTCCTTCCTTCCTTCCTTCCTTCCTTCCTTCCTTCCTTCCTTCCTTCCTTCCTTCCTTCCTTCCTTCCTTCCTTCCTTCCTTCCTTCCTTCCTTCCTTCCTTCCTTCCTTCCTTCCTTCCTTCCTTCCTTCCTTCCTTCCTTCCTGCCTTCCTTCCTGCCTTCCTTCCTGCCTGCCTGCCTGCCTCCCTTCCCTTCCTTCCCTTCTTTCCCTTCCTTCCTCTGCTTAATAACGTCCCTGCCTCTCAGGGTGGAGGAGAGAGACTTTCAGAAAAGAGAACATTGGATTTTCTAAGAAACGTCCTCTCACCTCAAATATTTTGAATACCAGGTGTTACTAACAGACTGGACAGAAAAAGAAAAAAGCCTTTCTTTTCGGCTGTCAGTGTTATCACTGATTTAATGCTGAGAAGAAAGAGGAGCGCTAGGAAAACCACATGCCATCTTTAGAAGGGCATGAAGGTTTATTTGCCTTCCCTCTTCTACATATGTGATACCCAGAAATTACCTTTTCTGAATTTCCCTTCTACAGCTGAAGAGCAAGAGCTGAGGAATTAAAAAACTGAAAATGATACCTCAAACCGAACTTAAGCAGGAATTAGGAATTTGTGCTTTCTCCTTCAGCACCCCCAGCCTCTTGCACCCAAAGTTACAGTTTTGAGTTTGAGTATTGCAGCTGGCTGAAATTCTTCTCTGCCAAGGCTCAGCAAACCACAGAACTGCAGGGAAGCTCTGTGCTTAACTCACATGTGAACCTGATCAGGTTTTAGAAATTCACATTTTTGCTTTAGATTTGCAGTTACTCTCCCAGAACGTCTACAGGATCAAGCTCTGAAAATAAATGTTCAAATAGGGGCCACCTCTTAAAATCCAGTAGAAGGAAGAAGAGCAAAGGGCAGTTTTTCCATTTTTTATGGGAAAACATAATTGCTGGGAGGTGGAAGACAAGTTTGAATCCTTTGCCTGAGGGAATTAAAATCTTCATATTCTATTTCCTGCCATCAAGCCTAAAAGCCAAGGTTACTAGATTAATGTTTGCCATGGCATCTCAGGAAATTTTACTGCATCTCCTGCCTAATCTGACCAGCCTCCTCATCTGGAAAAGTGCTTCAGGCTTCCTCTCTGCTGGGTCAGCCAGGTGATCCCCATTGCCTTCATGACTAAGAACCATGAAGGCTCTTTGAGGTCAATCCTGGGGAGTTCTGTGAGAAATCCAGGATATCCCAGGTCTGTGGGAGGCACTGTGCATCTGGGGGCTGCTGTGAATAACAGGCACTGAGTTCACAGTCTGGGTCCAGACCACTGCCTGCTGTTTGTGCAGCTCTGCTGAAGACTGTTCTGCAATGTTAATGTGCTCATCATCCCCTGCTGAAAGTCTCCTCAGCCAATGCAGAGAATTCAAGATTCACTGGGTCAGACGGAGGGGAAGGAACGTGATTTAGTAACCTACTGGTTTGGGCAGACAACACAAAGCAGCAGGTCTGACATACCAGTAGCTTCTCCAGGAACAGCTGATGCTCTTGTCTAATGAGTTTTTCATGTAAAATGCATGAACAATAGAGACTGGAATCCACATTTCAATTAATATTTTAAGTGTTTTATAGCAACTATTCATAGCAGAAAGGACTGAAACTCATGTGTGTTCTTGCCCCTGGTGAGTGCTCTAACCACTCAGCAAGTGAGTTTTGCTCATACCCATCCTCCTTCTGGCCCAATGAGTATTTAGTTAGTCCATCCAGAGCAAAACATCTTCAGCAGAGAAGAGATTGAAAGAAGCGATCTAAGAACACCCTGGAGAAGAATATCAAGGACTCAGATCTCTCTAGGCAGTGGAGGTATTTGAACCTAAGTCCCCTATTTACAAAGGAACCATTTTAACTTCTTTGAGACACAGATTAAAAGGAGCCAGGAGAACAATGGAGGGCCAAGATGGAATGAGGGGGCACCACCATCCTTAAATAGGAGAAAAGCTGCTTCTTCTCTAAACACGTTCAAGTGGCAATTTTAGGCATTTGTCTGCCTAATTCCCTGTATGTATAGCAAAGGGAGGGCTGAGGGCCAAAGAACAGGGCTGTCACTTGTATTAGACCCAAGTGTGCTTCAGCATAGGGCTGAACATTATGAAATGACACCTAAATCACAACTTTCTGGTGATTTAAAAATGCAACACAGAATCTCTCCCCACCAGCATCCCCTCCGCATCTTTTAAAATATGCTAATGTCCTCCTCAGCCCCCACTCTCAAAGGTATTTGATGCTCAGGTCTCACTGAAGACAGGACTTAGGCCCAGTGGCTAGGACTACTGTCAGTTTTACCTCAGTAGTTAAACTACAGCAGACCTTCAGTATCTCTGTCTGTCATCGAGAGACTGAAATAACATGAAATTAGCTGAGATCTGCTGTGCTGCCCTAAGAATTCAGGCAAAAAGGCAATATAAGAGTGTAACCTTAAGAACAACGGGAAGCCATGGATCTTCCTCTGTCAGACAACAGGGCAGATCAAGTTTAAAAAGAGCTAAATCCCCACTGTTTCCCTCCTTCCCGTACACATGCATAACACACTCTGCAAAGGCATACACTTCTGTTTGTTTTGTGTGGTTTCCTCAGGCAGTGAATTATCTAGGACTGAGTCTGAGATTGGCTGTTTAGTTTCAAGCTTTACGATAAGCTTTTAATTATAGCACAGGAGTTTCATTACATGTTACTCCGAGCCAGCTGGAAGCAGTTACACTTTAGTCCTCCCCCCCTCCCTCCTCACCACAGGACGTCATTTCCAAGGCCTTACCCTTCTTGTCTTGATGATTATGGGATGAAACTGCCACATATGGATCTGTATTTTCAGATGAACCAAGCGGATCCTTCCAATCCAGCATGCGTCCCCTAGCATCATAACCCTGTCGAGCGCGAGAGTCAGAAGTGGTGGTGCTTGGGACTAGGGAACTGGAGTGTCCTGTTTACATTATAAATACAGGTAGGGAAGACAAGTCTCATTAGTCACTTACCACGCTACCTCCCCACGCTCAGGAATGCACGCACTGCTTTGCAACCGTGACGGGCAAATATCTTGTCTAAGGCTGAGCAATGTTTCAAAAGTCCTTCAAAGCATGGCCCCAAGGAAACAGGGGAATTGAACCTTCCAGATCAGGTTGTTAAGAGGTGCATGCACGCCTTGGGCTGCCACTGAGCTGGTAGTTGTGTGCTTTCACTCAAGGGAGTTAAATGTGTGTGGAATAAAGTTAGTACACTTCATAGGAGTCAAGCACCCTTTAGCTGGATTCAGTACACATCCCTGATCGACACTGAAGTGTCAGCCCACGCTGTCTGGTACTGGCTTACTTAAAAAGCAATTTTAAAAACAATTTAAAACGGAACAACTTCTAATATGTCTGAAACTGAAGGGGAATGCCAGAAGAGCTACAAAATGGTGACATCAGTGGCTCTCTGCCCCATGCCGCCAGGGGAATGAAGGACTGCCCAGAACTGGCGTGCTCGCACTGCAGCATCGCCCCACAGATGGAACTGTGCATGGCCTGTCAGTCGCTTACACCCACTTGCACCCCTTCCAGCGGTCCTGTCGGAGCTGACGGTCCAAAATGGCTCTGAGATAAGTATGAAATCCAGCACAATTTCTGCTCAGAGTGACAGTGAAGGCATCTTACTGTGTGGATCTGCCCAAGCACCCGTGTCTCCCGCAGCTGCCTTTTTTCCATTACAACTACTCCAAACATTGTTACTGTTATCCTGAATAAGGGCTGATGAGCTCCTCGCCTGTCAAATACACACCAACAATCAGCATGTTTACAGAACATGCCCTGCTAGAAACACCACATAATTTTAAGAGAGGTTTGGATGGGGCAGAGATGTGTTTGTAGACTCATACATCCCTTGCAGCTAGATCCTGAGAAGTACTTCAGCACCCAAAATGCTTGGAGTACACTGTCTCTGAAAGATGGTTCCAGCCTGGACTTCCCAGTAGCATGGGCTGCTCCATCGCTGCTGGGGAGGGGGCACCGAAACTCCATCTGCACCACAACATTTTGATCTCAAAACCACATATGCCTCTGAAAGTTCCCTTTCTGCATGTGCACCAAAATGAATTGTTTTCAGCAGGACTCAGTGAGCTCTGGGACTGGTTTATTTGATGTGGTGTAGCTATATTTCCCCTTACCTACTCTCCCAAAAGAGCCCATCAAAAGAGGGGTTTTTGAAACATGCTCAAACACAAACTAACAGAATCAGATTATTCAGACAGAAGGGCAGATAACGCTTTCTCTTCAGATAACGCCAGACAGACTGACAGCAGCCCTTTCTCCTGCCTCATCTTTAGCAGCCCAGCAAATTAATTTTTCTTCCTTAGATGTGAGCCTCCCTTGGAGAGGAGTCCAATCACGAGGCTGCAGACTGCCCTAGCAGAGACCCTCTCCTTGTTCCTTTCCTTGATGTCAGTTTCACTGCTTAGAAAAATAATTTGAGACTCACTGGGGCAGAGATAGAGCAGCACAAGGAACACAAATTTAAAGCCTTATGGAGAAGGGCCAGAGCTGGGCAGGTAGAGACTGTGCTTCTTTAGTTTATTTTAAACAGTCACTGGATAAGCAGAAAGCTTTTGGAAGCTGCACTACAAAAAGGCTGCTTCAAGTGGCTTCTACAGCCCCAGCTCTCAGAAGCACAGACAGAGCTGATGAAACTAGGTCCCCAATTCCACTCCAGCAATCACAAATCTAAATGTTGGCCACCAATGCTCCCAAGGTTTTTGACGCACCCATGTGCTTTGTTTCATCCAGCCTTTTCACCAGCTTCAAGGGGTTGAACAACTGATGAAGTCAGCAAAACAGCTGCAACTTCTATCAAGATACTGCTATGATTTAAAGAAGTCCTGCTGAATATTAATGGTCTTGAAGGAAGAAAATTTCTGTGCTCCTCTATATTTTCAAGGAGCCCTTTTGATTTACTGCACAGGATTATATATGGCAGCACTTTGGACTGTGTTTTGCATAGGACACAGACACAACTAACTCCTGTAACTGGTACACTCAGTAGGGAAAATTGGTCAAATTCACAGTGTTCTCACCACAAAGTCAACCTTCAGCTACTACAGCTAATCATTAACACAATTTAGCTCTGGACCTCAGACTGAAGGCTGATATTGACAAGGGCACTGGATTAATTTTTACCTCTCATGACAGGAAGTGTGGTTTCTCCAAGCCGTCTTTCTTTAACACGGCATATTAGAGGCTGTATCTTGTTGAAGACAGAGCTTTTAATGTCACTCAAATAGAAAAGAGAAGCCAAACATTATCCACTTCTAAAAGGTTTCCATAAGCCACAGAATGGCTGGGAGCACTGGTAACACACAGTTAGATGGATGATGGACTCTGATCCAAACATGTTGCGTTTTTCACAGCAGTCCTGCAGCAGGGCTGCTTGCTTCCAAAAGGACAAGAAGAGGTCCAGCAACTGAATGGACATGCCCTGTTGAAGCAAGAATATGCTGCAGCATGGAAGTGTTCACCCCTACATCATTTTATGCTTGTCAGCTCCTGTGCTTATCCCCAAGAAATGAGAGAAATATTGGGACAGAGAACAGGCCAGAAAATAGAAAATATGAGATTTCCATGTCTTCTTTTTCCTAAGGACTAACCATAGTGCCAGCATTCATGGGGTTCCAGTCTCCAAGTTAATGCCCCATTCAGCAACCACAATGCTGTGTACAATATTTGGTCAGCCTACAAATAGTGCTGCACTCAAAATAAGAAAGCAATTAGTCATAGCTTGATATGGAGGTAAAGGAGAAGAAAATCTTGCCAAGTAGCAATCATATTTTATGCCTGTGTTTGATATGTATTTATATGCTCATACCTCTGTCCAGACACTTGCACTTTAGGTGTACTTAGAGGGGGAATTCTAAGAAAAAGCCGTGAGTATGGTTAAAGAACAACATTTCTTAATGCCGTAATCTAGAGGAAATATATGCCTAAGGGACACATTTTCTGAAAAAAAAAAAAAAAAAAAAAAAAAATTCCTGAACCATATGCTGCAAATACATAGAAAACTTCTTCGTAATGGAAAGCTAAGGCTTTGTGAAGATATTAATGTGTACCAGATGGTTGTTAGGTAGAGAAATGCAAGAAATCAGGCTATCTGCTCTGTTACTAATGTGTAGTCTAGTACAAACTGAGAAACAACCTTCCACACCTAATCAAGATAAACGGTTTTCCACTAGATTTTGGGGAAGGAGGGCAGGAGCAGATTAGACTTTAATAGCCTGTCCCACTTGTGTTAGAGCTGTATTCTGCAAATACTTACTACTGGGCAATGGCTGCTCCCGTAAGCAGTATCACTGTGTCCTGTAAGTGCCTGAATAGCTAGTCCTGCTGGGTGAATTTCACTTCTGAGCAGAGCGGCACCACAAATGTATGAGCTAGTTAAGTTTCTCTCATAAACAGAGAAAAGACTGAAGTGGCAGGCAATCCAGTCCTGCCCTTTCACACACAGCTGTTATTAAACCTTTACAGTGTGCTGTAAAGTTTGCTACATGTAGTGGGCCTTTTTTTTCCATTACACCATTTTTACCTCTTTGACTATGTAAATAGATGTCACTGCCATTTAAAGAGGCTTTAAGCATACCTGAGATGTGGCCAGTACCTCTATGTTAATATCGGTTAATACCTAAGCATTTAAAAAACCAATGCTGCCTTTGTTTTAAAACAAACCATCTGAAAAACTGCAGACAGTCCTTTTCAAACTTCTTTGTTTAAAGCAAACATGTGAAAATCAAAATAGACCCAGTTTTAAAAAAAATCTGTTTTAGGTGCTTCCATTATTTGCAAAAACTTTTCATTTGGAGTGCTGTAATCAAGTAACAGAAGGGGAGTAAAAGCACTTAATGTCTACAGGCATAGATAATGATTCAGAAGGGCTGCACTTCTGTAACTATAGCTCATTCTGAAGTGCACTTGTAAAATATAAGGAGGTTTTTTTTCAGGTTTAAAACAAAGACAGGGATTCAATATGTATTTGACAGTTGCTCTAATATGCACAAGTCATTAGGATCTCAGAGGTTAAGATGTCTGCACACTATTCTATTAACAGCTATAGCAACCTAATTAGACAATTAGAGGGAAAGGCTAAATCAATACTACAGAGGGAGAAAGGACTATGGCTAGGGGGTAAAATAAGGGCCCAATTCACTAAGAATTGATGTTTCCAAAGGTAATTGAAGCTGCTTACAATTTTGCAAAAGAATCTAGTCTAGTCTAATCTCCCTGCTTAAATATGCAGCTCTTGCATCATTTTTCTCTGACCTTCTGCAGCCAAACCTTCAGCCTGCTATCTTCTCCTTGGGTGTCAAAAGGGATGCACTTGCACAGTCACCTGTGTGGATTTTGCCCTTGTTTACAACCACTCACAAGAGACTGCCCCAGAAAATGGAGCCCACCTGCCAAAATCCAGGAAGAGGCTGATGCCAATAATACAAAGATGAAGGGCTTGGTTCTCCTTTCACTCACGCTGCTACAGATTGGCAGTAAATCTGTTGAAGTGGGCTGATTTATAGTGGAGTAAATCAAGGGAATCAGGCCTTGAGACTTCTTTTGCAACCGGAGTTTCAGATGCCTTTGGATATATTAAGCCTACTGGATCCAAAAGCACCCTGATCATTCACTTGCTTGGAATTATGGTATATTCCAGTGTTCTGAGTTTTAATCTATTATGAAATACCACTTACTTATGCATTTAACTGTACTCAATAACATTAAAATGCACCATATATAAAATTTTAATTTTCTCAAGAAAGAAAATGACTCAGAGCAGTCACTACAGTTAGCAAACATGAACATGTTTACTGAGACTGGTTTACTACCTCATGCTGGAATTTTCTACACTTCTCATGTGGAAGAGAAATAGAGGTGACTAGCACATTTCCTTTTATATTTTGGTAGGTGAAAAGAAAGACTGACTGCAATAATATCAGAATGGGTATTTTAACAAACCCATAAAAGGAAGAGCTGACTTGCCTAGAGAGGACGTTATCAGGATGTACCTGAGGAGGGTCAACGAAATAATGTGTGAAAGACAAAGCATGAATGGGAACCAATGGTAGTGTTGGGTCAGCATTTCTCCATTGCATCTGGCTGTAGGGTCCTACTTTGAGCTGGGTTAATTCATGGAGTCTGTCTTTGGGCTTGGCATGCCTGGACAGTAAAACAGACTTCCTTTGGTTACCTGTACTCTCTAGGACTGCAGCTTTTTTCACACTGCTGCTCACTTGAATCCCTCTTTTGGTCAGCTTAAAATACCAGCTTTTCCTAAAGTCCATACTAACATGGTAAAACGGGATCCAGAACCACAGCCCCACCACTTAAACTGCAGCCTACAAACGTGCTTAGAAGCAGGAAACTAGAACATTCCTGGCACATCAGGACTATGCCCAAGGCCATTTTCTTTATCTTTACATTCAGCAGTACGAATTTTAATATTACTGTTCTTTAATTACTGCTCTGTGCATTGGAAATATAGCAATTTTCAAATGAAAGAAAGTAAAGGCTGTATATGCAGATGAAACCATGAGTCTTCCATACATTATGAAACATTAACTTGTCTTTGATTTTGTACATTTCCTTCACTGGTTTTCATTATCATACTTTCAAACAAGTTTCACCTGCACACGTTCCATTTCCTGGTAATAAACAACATGGGGAATTTGATTTTATTTTTACGAACGTTGAACAGTATTACTTTGCCTCCAGTTATTTATATTCTGCTGCCATTGGTTCTGTTTTGTACCTAGATATTTTGCAGGCATGAGATTAAAGAATCATTTAAATGTTCATTGCAACTGCACACTAACCTACCTCATGCTACATTCAGCCAAACATACGGTGAATTTGCCCTAGCTCAGATGAACTGCTAGGCTTATACAGCCTGAAAACAACTTCACAAGCAAGCTCCCATCCCACGTGGATATTTTCCATTGACTTCACTGGGAGAAACACCACATATCCTCTTAGCTTGTGAGTACTTAACTTTGATCGGGATGTCTATAAAGAGAAACTACTGCAACATAACTCTAGGTTTGAATTTAAGTGATTATTTATTCTGCAGTAATTCCTGATGCAGACATTTATTCTGTACACCAAGTACCAGCATAATCCACTTCCAAATATACAGAACGAAGTGGTGGAAAGTAGTGTGAGCACAGATTAACATCTGCCTCATGGGAAACTGCTACTCTAGACTTGCAGAAATGCTCCTCTTCAGCTCAGGTAATTTAATTTGCTATGCAAATCCATTGTTTTTTACAAATTAGGCCCCATTCAGGCATTAAGATACTGCAAACATGGACAACATAAATGACTCACTCTAGAAGTGACAGGAACATTCAGCAATCGAGGCATAACCCAGTCTCAACTCACATGGGTAATAGGTTAATTTTCCTTATGAGAGATCTTTCTGTAACCCAGGGACAGTTCTGCTCCTTTCCCTAAGGTACCTCTGACTGGCTGCTGCAGCAGTCATGACACCATCTTGGACAACTCATGAGTGGGATGTGAGCTGCTATCTTGTTTTTCCTGGCAAACAGACAAGATGCATCACTGTGCCCAAGTGTTCCTTGTTCAGGTGAGGCATGCTCTTAATCATGTCTGCTGACATGCCATTGAAGTAGGCCATATCTGATTTTAATTCAATGGAGACAGCCCTGAAGAAGGACTAGAAAAGAGGGATTGAAAATCAAGAGGTATGACTTAATCCTAGTTGTGATTAGTGAATCAGGCCCTCAAAACCAAGACAAAACGAGTAAAAAGGTTAATGGATATTTGAGTACAGGAACTACTAGCTAACACAAGGATCTGGGGAGAATTTTTAAAAACACCCATAAACTGACCATACACTGTGTCGTAAGACATTTCATGATCAGGTGAAGCAGTTGAAATGTCTATGAACAAAATAAATTGGGAAGAAACATTAAATAAAACAAAAGTATGAAAATACTTAAAAGTTTAGTAAAAAGTGATTCCTCCAAAATGGATTTTCTGTCAGTAAATAATGAAACTAAGAACTTCCTTACCATTCAGGGCTACGAAGGAATCTGAAAGACAAATAACAGGGGAAAAATCATTATTTCTCTCTCGTTTTTTATTTTTAATAGTTTGCTGCTAGCAACCTTTTATGCTTCAGCTGATATTTATATGTATGTGATTAGTACCCTAAGGACCCAGGCAAAACTAATATTCAGGCATACCCGAAAACAGCGTCTGGCTTTGAAAGTGTTCATGACCAGCCCTGTGCAAGGGATATGAAGTGGGAAGGCCAGTGCCCTCCCTGCCATGGCTTTCTTTGCAAGATCAAGTCCTAATCTAACACAAGGCACTACAAGTGATGCAGCAGCAATGTGAGTCAATGAGGACAAAATTCACATGACCCAAGACTACATGAAGTAATAAGATCAGCTGGGTTAGCAGGGAGTGAAATCTACCCCTGTGCAGTGTCAAGGTTCAATGCGTCATTCAGGGCTAAAGAGGGATTTAAGCAGGGTATAGGCTTTGTTGCTCTCTGCATAGGATCAGATCTCTCTCCATGAGCACAATGTGCTGTTTCTGAATAATTTCCTACCCTTCCTTTATATTTAACTGATATCAGGTACACTCCACTCCTTTCTAACCTATTTGCCCGAGGAGATCAGAACTGGCTGAAAAGGGCAAAGTTGCACCATCTGGGAACTGACCTGATTTTGGTGCTAACCCATTTTACAGGGAGCACAGGAGGGACTACGCGTACACCTCCTTCAAAAAACTTAGAGACAGCCTACATAACCTTATCTTAGAGCAGAGGCAGAGAGAGGTGTAGCTGAGATGGGAGGCATGCATAGGCTGAAATCCTTGTAGTCCTTCAAGCACAGTGATCACAGTAATAAATGGCTCTTGAACAAAGATGCACAAGGCATAAGAAGGCTCTGGCTTTCTCCAGAGCAGCTGCCCTGCACTGTATCCCACGGCACACTCTAGCCCTCTGTTATTTTGCTCTGTATTCTAAAAGTAATGAATCTCTCATTGTACATTACTTCCTCAGCTTCAGTAGTTTTATTGCATGTACAGGCATCAGTGCAAATTACACCACAAAGAATGTGATTCTTGATTTCATAAGGTTTATAAATAATATTTGGGGCTCAGAATTAAACCAACCTTGGCAAGAACATTTGGAATGAGAGCTGTCCTGAACACAGAAGTTTGTATTCGTGAAGGCTCAGAAATCAGCATGCAAGGTTTCTTTGCATGAAGTGCAAGCTGTGCACTTTTAAGCACCTCAGTGTAAAACGTAGATGTTTAAAGACTGTGGTTAAGCTTCCAACTCACGCTGTCAGTACCTAAGGCTTACCATTAAAATTTCTTAGGCAAGGTCAGTAGTGGCCGACCCTTAATACCATTATGTGGTCCATCCCGTGTGTAAAATCCACTAAGATTCACAAACTAAGTAGTTCCCACTTCTTGATCTGGATCCAAAGCTGAAGGTATATTTCACTGTCTCCCTGTCCTGCATGGGAATGTAGTCCAAGTCACAGTCTACACCAAGAAACCAAGCTGCTTCTGTATATCTACATAAAAAACCCAAACATCATGGCTAATAAAGACAATGAACACCCAATTCATTATGTCATTGCTATAATCAGCATCCTCTAGAACTGAGGTCTTCTCACTACATAACTGCTTTGAAGTCCGGTGTTTGTAAAAATCACACTAACTGGGCTATTTTCTTTAAATACATTTAAATAACAGTTCCTTTTCTGAACCTGCACCGTTAGCTGCAGTTGCTGTCCCTGTTGTGGCTTACATTGTACAAAAGAACATCTGACAGGTAATGGTGATTTCAGGCATTCAAAAGGATGCTGTGACACATGGTAAATAGAGGGTAAAAGCTTTGCTTACTTTGGCAGTCACCCAGGCCATCTGTATTGCCATGTTCTATGTCCTGTTCAAATGCCACTCTAAATAACAGAAAGAAACAAAACAGTATGAATAACAACAGTCACAGGCATGACCAGAAAGAAATTATCACATGCGCAACTGAATAAAGCCCCACTGTGAAACTGCCCACTTCTTTGGAACTTCCACACAAAGGCTTAAAAATCGCAACATAGACATTTGAGTTATTCATTATTGCTTAATGACTTCTTGGCTTCTGATGATGCTTTGTCTTTTTATTATTACTTTTTTAAAATCCACTGCATGCCTTGTTGTCAAAGGACACAAACATTTTTTAAACTGTTAACTCTATAATATATGATATTATCAGGAGCAATTATGATCCTACCTTAACTTGTTCATATAGCAGACAAGGTGCACCAACACTTTGACATGAGAAGGAAGCTAACTCATTGGGTAGGTACTCTGCTCGGGGAAGACAACCTGCATTTCAGCAATCATTTAGGTACTATGCTGGATGAGGCTGCAAGATGTAAGGTGCAGTCCACAGAAGGCATTACACTGAACTCAAGGGGCTCTAGCGAAAAACACTTGCAGGCTTTTCTAGCTGACATGCCCACTTTACACTCCTAATCTCTGCCTGTGATTTTGGATAACTAGTGAAGCTGTTCTTCCAACTTCCTGTATGGTCAGAGGTGAATGACAAGAGCCTTGGAAAGCCTCCAACACAAGCCTTTGTCTACATTAGTTAGGAACTTGTCCTTGAGGCGTAATTACCCTTGCAGGCACCTCATTCCCAACTCCATGTTCTTAAAACTCCTGCTCAACTGTCACCTACTCCAGGAGGGCACCTAACATCTCTGCCTCCTGTCCGTTAATTCAGAAGTACAACAGACATCTTCACAGCTGATCTGGATCCCCTTCCTGAGTGCTATGCATTGGACAGAGAGCGACCTGCCTTGCTCATCCCTGGACCACACCACAAGCTGCACTGCCTCTGTCTCGATGGATTTATTAATAAACACAGAAGCTGCTTTTAGCTGTGAGGTACAGAAGTCCCCTACAACTTGCCATGGAAGTGCAAAAAGACTCAAGCACTTTGAGAATGCTGAGAAAACCTGAAATGGACACAGGGGCATTTTAAAATTGTTCTACCATATGTCCAGTCACGAACAGTCCACACTCTTGTAGTAAAACATATACAGAGAGATATAGCTATAGCATCCCCAGTAGCCAAAACAATTTGAATTGAAATAGCAAATTAAGAAAAAGACACAAGCACAAGGATGGTAACTCATCCGTTATATACTGAAGACCTGCACAGAAGCAGGGTTAAGTGGGGTCAGCTGTCGAGGTTGTGTGGTGTTTCTGCTACACTTCCACCGCTGCCTTGAGGAAGTATAACTGTACCTCAGAGTGGGAAAGCAGGAGGTGTGTCAGATGTGGCCAAGAAATGAGAGCTCTGAAGTGGGTCTGCGCCCTGCAAGGAGGCTTCAGTAACTACATTTAAACAGACCTTAACAGACTTTCATTATTATAAAATAATTAAATTCTACTGTTAAGCAAGGGGAGATCCAGCACTTCTCTGAACCTGCTTTAAGCTCTTACTGTGCTCTGTGATTCCTCTTAGTAATGCACAGTAAATTAGAAGGACTGGTTTTGTTTTCAGTGGACAAATTGCTTCAGTAATTTAATTTGGATTCTATTGCCTCTTTAATCAGCTGTGATGGCTCCAGTGTGGGCTGGTCCAGACATGCCCATCCAGTTCCCTCCTTTCAATAACACATGGACCTTAGTGCAGCTCTTTCATTTTCATCTTCCTCCTGTTTCAGCAGTTACCGATCAGCTGAGAGTTCACATCAAAAAAAATTGTGAGACGTTTCAGAGGTGAATGCAAATAAGGTAGAAACAAACACTTCCCACATTTTTTCTTCCCCCAGAGCCCCATGTTTCAAATAGCTCTGCCCAAGACCGCCCGGCGCCACCACCAGAGCTTCATGGCCCATCCAGCCAGAGCCCTTACTCACTTGGAGCCAAGGACCAGCTGTGTGCACACCCCACTCTCCTTCACCCATCCGCAGTAGGGGTCTCTGGATGCTATGCAGGCCCTTGAGAAAGAAGAACACAAGGTGGCATTCATGAGTGCTCCTGTCTTCCCCACGCCTGCTGTGCGGGCTTCTGACAGCCACCAGAAGCCACCAGAAAACACGTACTTCTTGCATTTGCCATGACGCTCACAACGTCCCAGGGGAACCCTGATGACACAGGTGGAGAAGGCGACGTACAGGGCGCTGCTGGGCTTGTCAAGCTGCATGCCCACAATCCTCTTGTCCTCCACGCCGTCGTAGCTGCACCTGATTTGAAAGAAAGTTAAGACAAGGTTATAAATTAGTTCTGCTGGCAAACCAGATGAAAACTTAATGATTCCTCAAGCTGAAAAAAAGAACCAAAAAAAACCCCAACTCCCACAGAAAAAGCCCTGAGAAAGGTAAAATAGAACAAGCCAAGGAAAAAGAACACACAGTAGCCACTAAAAAGACTGATAGACATACAAGCAAGTACTAAAAATGCATGGGACAGGGGAATAAGAAGTGGAAAGAGATGTCACACCAGACAAACTTTCTGAGGGCCCTTCATTTTTTGTGTTTATTCTTCCACAGCACTCAAAGTAGCTGAAATTTCTGCATGATTATGGCCCACTTCAAAGCCCCTTTAGGCATATTTGAGGAAGGCTGAAATGCGGGAAATTTCCCTTGGAGAGTGGCTTGCTGGTTGTTGAGTTATTTGGAGAGGAATCAGGTTTTTTTATAGGATTAGAAAATTAATCTTCCTTTGCAGAATTTTACTTTTAATTATCCATCAAATTCTGCAAAGGATGGGCTATTTTCTACACACACTGAATAAAAAATATCTTATTGAACTGTAGAGACTGATAAGCAGACATCTCCTCTCCAGACAATTTAAAATTACTCAAAAAACCTTGGCTTCTCTAACTACTTCCCTTTTTGTGGGACAACCTTCTCTCTGGGAAATCGGGAGTTCAAAGTCACCCATACACGAGTACAAAGAATCAGATATACACACTTTTCAGGATTGTAAACGTTCATCTCCTCCAGGAAAAGGCTGTCATTTAGGAAACCACTGTTTCCTGTCCGTGCCAAGAACTTCAGGATGATTCCCTTCTCTGATCCCAAGAAAACCACGGTGTAGTTCTGATAGGGCCCAGCAGCAGAGTCCACGGCAATTTTGGTCAGGCGGTATCTAGAAGAACAATACAGCATTTTGCATCACTTGGGATTAGATTGCCATTTATTTTATAATTTTTTCCACTTTAGATAACTGCATGGTAGCCTTCTAGCAACCATAGCATATTTAGGAACTTTTCCTAGCTGAACAACCCTACAAGTCAACACAGACTGTACCAGTTTGGCTCCCCAAATGGTGGGGAATTTTCATGTGTTTGTTTGCATGTCCATATGTCCAATAGCTAGGAGAAGTGTTTGCAGAAATCTGAAAGGGTGCTAAGAGTCTGAGGGATTATCCTTCCAATCAAAAGTAAAGTACTAGCCTAGTGACTTCTTCAGGCAGAGAAAGAAAATCATCACAGGGACTTTTTTTTTTTTAATTGCAAGCTTTGTCACATTAAAAGCAGCAATAACGATTTACGTTCAACTTTTTTTGGCAGGAAAAGCTGTGCCAGTGCAAAAGTGAGATGCTAAACAACATTTTACCTCACTAAAAATAATCACACAACTGCCACTAAGTGAATTCAGTGCTAAGATGATATTGAATCTTGGAATTACACAATTTATCGAAAACAAGTACTGGTGATTTGGTATCAGTTACCTGGTACTGACTATCAAAGGAAAGCGCTGTGCAGAGCTTGCTGTTCTCATCTTAGGTTGTAGGTACAGAACCTGACATAAAAACTTGGCAGAAGATACATTACTAAAACTAAGTTCAGGCCCTTCCAGAGCTAAACACTGCCTGGCACAAAACTCTACCCTTATATGGAGGAAGAGAGGAAAAGTTAATCATGTTATTCTGCTCACAACTGGAGTAAATAAGTAGTACAGTGACCACAGCAGACAGTAGAAATGTATTTTGATAGGAAGGGGATGGTGTATTTGAGGCTTGCTGATTTATGTGCCTTTGTTCAAATCTCTTCATTAGTGTTTTTCTCTTGTTGCCATAGAAAGGATACAGTTTATGTGATTATTTCTGCCTGTACGCTTCTGTAAATATTAAAACATACCAGTACATATCCCGACAGACATCTTCATATCCTGTGAACGTATCCTGGCAGACATGTTTGTATCCTGTGTACATACCCCTGAGCTGTCTGCTGATCCTTGCCCAAAGTTTTCTACAGAGCTGTCCCAAACACTGGCCCATAAGCCAACAGGCGGGTCAACCTTCCTTGCACAGCATTTCCTCCAAGATCCGGTTTCAGCATAGTGTGGTTGGAAAGAACTGAGGTTTTTTCCTATCTTGAAAGCTGCTCAGGGAGTTCTGGGACATCTGCTCAGTACTGCCATCATTCCTAGCTGGATTCATGCCCAGCACACCAAGGATGTTTACAGAGTTTGAGAGCATTCTGAGCAACGTTATTAGCACAACTTGACAGCTCTGATGAGGACAAGAGGTACATACCTGACCATTGTTCTCAGGAACCAGGGTCTATTGACAATCGAAGGTACAGCCTCGTCCATCAGTGGATGTGTTTTGATGAAGTTCAGAGTATCATCTGGGAACTCATTAGAGGTTACGTATTTTTCTAATGATGTAGAGCCAGCACAGCAACCAGGCCTACAAAAACCAAGAGGGTAAAGCCAGAACACTTACTTGATGCCTAGTGCAAATCTGCTTTTGTAATGAGGCCCTCAGTGAAATCTAAATAGAGGATCGAGAAGACTAGTGGACTTGTTCAGCCCCTCATGGGAAGCCTAAAATACTGCTCTGTCCTCCACTCAAAAGGACTTAACATGTCACTTAAAAGCACAGACATTTCTTCAGCAGGAGTGACACACACAGTTTGTAGTTCATCCACTCGCACGGAACTTAATCACAATATGTGTGCATTTGCCTTGATGCTGTCCGCCGGCACAGGTGCTTTCTGATCTGTAACCTGCCCAGCTGACTGCTCTTTCCTGGAATAAAAGCAGTCCTCACATACAGAGGAAGTTGATTTTTTCAACATGTGTGAAAAAATGCTGCTTTCAGTCCTGTCTGGCAGAAAAAGTACTACTGAAGAAGACAAACCAGCAAGCATCCATGTTAACATTGGTTTTACCCTTTTTCAATTTGGATGAGACAATTTAAGTATGGTAGCACACTGAGGACTTTCACTGAAATGGTATCTGATCATTCTTCTACAATTTAAATACAAATCTGCTCAGCCTATTCCTAAAATATACCCTGCTCTTCAGAGGTAACTTAACATTACTACCTGCACAGGTCATCTCTACGCAGGAAGCAGAAAAACGCTTTGCCTGTTTTTAACATTTTGTGGGTTATTTTCTCCAACAAAAGGTCCGTTTGATACCATTTCCTAGGACATTACAATTCTTCAAGCCTTTAAGCCACTGTGAGATGGGAAGATGAAAGATGGATGACATACTCATAAACACTCTGCAGTGTCTAATTTTCATTTGCTCTGACATGGCTAGAGCCACTGACATGGGTGGAGAAACGCCAACTTGAACAAAGTATAGTGCTGATCCTATCATATCTGTCCCTCAGATTTAGATAAATACTCAAATCTTAGATAACTAAATTTTATGTAAGAAGATAGCATAACACTAGAGGGAACTAGCTGGGTCAATGAGTCTGGTCCCACACAGCTGCACAATGAACATTACATGCAGAGACTGTGTGCTCTGCCTCTTTGTATCCAAAATGTTTTGGTTGTCTTGCAACTGCATATAGAATTAGCAAAAGAGGGAGAGAAGGAGAAACCAAGGGCACCACTGGTCTCCAAGGACCTTGCAAGGGCACTGATTCATGAGATGACATTTCCAGAGAACTCTAAGGAGCAGTCTATGCCTTCTGGCACTGTGGTGCCTAGGGCTTCTGTACATCTAATCTGCTGGTCTATTTCCACCCAGATTTTAATCACATGATTGGATTAATCCTGTTTTAATCTCAAAACTGGTTTAATTGAGTAAACATAAAACCAAGTATACCTTTGGCCAAAAAGGAAAGTGAGGCCCCTGAAAGGCCCTGGTATGTTTCTGAGAATATTAGGAGCACTAATGTTTCTCCACCATACTGAGATATTCAAATAAAAATGACCTTATTTCAAAGGCGTCTTGTTCTTCTCATGCATTTCAACATGAGCTAGAAGTAATGATTATTTCTGTTAAGCAGATTGATGGCCAAATGTTACATGAAACAGTGTTCACCAATTCAGCTCACGTTAGCTCCTGCTGGCTTAGAAGGAGCAGCATTATCCCATCTTCATCACAACTGCTAGCCTGCTATTGGCTCATCCCACAAACTCATAATGCAACTTTCTCTTCCCACCGAAAGAGAAAATTTCTCTTTCTCCTTTCCCTCTCTCCTGCCAATACTCTCTAAGTTCCAAACAAATGACCTTGGAGTCCTTGTGCAGCCTTGCACTATCAAGGCAGCCCATCATGTCAATGAGTTGTTGAAACACTGCAAAATGGATTAGAAAATCCAGGAACAGTGCTAGCAGGTGCCTTTCTAAGGCTCAGACCAAAAAGAGACATAGAATTTACCAGATTTTTCAGCCATCTCCAGACTCTTCTCTTGAGTGAGAACCTCAGAATAAAAACGGCACAGGAATACTATACTCAGCAACTCTAAAACATGATGGGCCAAATCTGGATTTAGGCAGAAGCTCGCTTGCCATCACAGAGCTTCAAATGTGTTTTTCTTTTGAGGTTATGTAAGATATCACAAGCAATGTGAAACATACATTAAGGTTGTAGAGCCTGACTGAGATAAATCAATTTGTTTTATCTACATTCATATTATATTCTCAGGGCAAAATGCTGCTGGTGTAAATGAGTTAACAAATGGCTATCAACAGCAACTTGTACAAAGTAAGTGCTTGTAGGAAATATGAAGAGAGTGTAATAGAGGAGCCATGTACAAAGAAGAGGGAAGTAGGAGCAGGGAAAACAACTCATAGGAGGAACGAGGTAAACTGAATCTCCATTTTGATGGAATGCTGTTTTTTTTCTCCCCATGATGCATCCTCTGTGGCACATAAATTGCATGTTAACCACAGAACAGCAAACCGCAGAACTGGTGCAGGCTTTGTAATGAGATATATCCATTACCGAACCAATTTGCAACAGGTGTGTAACTCACACCACTCTTAAGTGATAGATTACTCTGACCAAGTGGATCTGACACTGGCCTGATTTATGTTACACACATTTTTTTTAAGTGGAAAAATTCTCACTTGTATACCTTAGATTCAAATGCAACTCAATTTCTCTTTTACTGTTACAGTATGCATCTTCAATTGTATCTGCAACTTAAAAGGCTGTTCAAATTGTCAAAAGCCTCTGTTCTGCGTGCAGGAACAGATCAGTATCACTGTTCATGAAACATACCTGGGTTTGGGCACTCGTTCGTCAGGAACTGGTGTCCATGTGGAGTCTGGAGACTTTTGTTCTTTGAATCTCCCAGTAAATACACTGGCGATGTCAAGCATGTCATAGGCACAGACTGCAGAGCCAGGGATGCTGCAAAATGACATTTCCCAGAAATTGTTACTCATTCTGCAGTTATGCATAAGATCTTGAGTGAAAAACATGCTGTATAGAAGTCTTCCTGTCACAGGCTACTCAATCCTGAACTCTGTAACCTCTGAGTATTGACAGGAAAAGCCAGCCCCATGGAAAAGCCTGAAATATACCAATCAGCAGACAGCTCCTGACAGCACAATTTGTTCAAAGTCTCTACAGAAAGAAGTAATTGCAATAATCTTGATGAAGGGAAAGAGTCTGGGAAACTCAGGGTACCACTGGCGGTGCATGAAGAGTAATAGCCAGTCTCATTCAGATCCCATTATTTGGAAATATAGGTTCTTGTAAGTCACAATGTCTCTCAGTATTAATTCTCACAGTCCCTGTCATGACTCAAAAATACACTTCAAGCAGTTCAGAAGTTGGTGCTGATCAAACTGGGAGCATGCTGCAATGTGCCATTAACCTGGCATTTATATGTTATTGCTCCATCCTCCCACAGCCTGATCTCCACCAAGTTTTCCCAGTGGAAAGGATTTAACTATGCTCAGGAATTTGCTTAACTCAATGAGATGTAAAGAGCTCATAGAAGCAAATTCAATTTTATTTTTAGATCATGAAGTTGTAAATTTCAACTTTTTGATTATTTGCATGCAACTGCATGATAACATTGTCTAAAAATAATTATAACCTTACCTACATATTTTCTGACAGTCTCGGTGGTTTCCCATGGTCAGTCACATGGAAGCATGAATTATTCATTTATCCACCTTTCATTTTTTTATACATGAACTACTGTATTCATGTCTGACTTTCACTGCTTGATTTTATCAGGTAAATAGCATGAACCCAGCTGGCTGAGGCTTTAAAACCTCCTTTTAGCTAGTAGGTTATTATACACTAAAGAAAAAATGTAGGAATGATAATAATGTTACAGAGAATAAAACTAAACTCATAAACATATATAAATTGATGGAAAACCAACTGTTTGAATATTAAAAGGTTTCAAAATGCTTATTACTGAAGGAAACAACAAGTAGGGAGACAGTCTTACTTTGATCTCCACAGACTGTGTTTTTACATAGAAGGGAACTTCAAAGCTCTCTATTACCATGATACTACACAGCAAGAGTTTTAAATGGAAGCAGCTACACAAATGTTCATGTAAGAGTTGGTCGAGGGTATATTTAGCCACACATAGGACCTCACCCTAAAAGAGACCTCAAGACCCACTCCAGCTAGATTTTGCACTTTGCTAAATTAAGCCCTAAAATAAAAACAGCCCTAAAATCTTGAGGTGTGCTATACAGAACCAAAAATGCTGAGAACTGTTCTCAACACATAACCACACAGTGACGGAGGGACCAGTGCAGTGAGAAGACTGCAAGAGATTTTACTCTTGAGGATGGCAGTTTGTGGGTCCACAGTGTGATAAAGCCGTAAGGATGGAGGATTGTGGGTCACAGTCAAGCCATCTCCCAACCACTGGACTACAACCCATCACCAGCTCCTCTCCTGTGTGACCTCAGGTTAGACTGGGGGATGTTTTCCAGCCCACTCTAGGGGTAATCTTTGTTCCAGACACCAAAGATATTTGTTGCAGCTTTTTTGCAGTGGAGTAAGAATGAGAGAGATGTGTCCATGTCAGAGGTAGGTCTGCTAATGAGGTGTCTCCAAGCCTATGCGCCTTCCTGTCATCTTCAATGTCTGGCAAAAACTGGGGCTATAAAATAGTACCTTGATTTTAACACCAAGTGCTTAGATTTTAAAATGCATGTTTTGAAAAAAAATATTCATGACACACCACAGGAAATACCAACAGAGCAGGAGGACAATCTCAATTTTGAGATAATCTCAAGACACAACCTACTTTCTCATGGTGAATCTCTCTTTGTTCACTTGTTTTTATTAAGCCACTTTGCATAAAAAGAGATCATCTTAATATAACTTTTATTTCCTACTGGTGGCATCATTATTCTATTGCAGTTCCTATTGTTTTGATGTCAAAAGCAGTGGTTACACATTACAGGCCTCGGCTTACTCTCATTTGAAGTCAGTTCTGTGCATGACCTCACTGAGGTCAGGCTTTGACAAGAGGTGGTGAGTATACAGCAAAAACAGATGAATTTCAGCAATAAAATTCCCCTTTCAGCCCAAATGCTACTCTGTGAAACAGCAATATATTTTTTAATTAGAATGTTACTATTATTTTAACTTCTCTAGGAGACCTCAATAATTAGATACAGTTACTCTGCTAATAACTTCTGGAGAAACATGTTATAATGTGTAATGGTAATAAATTCTTTGCAGATGAACTGATGCTTTTGGAAAACCATGTGAACAATGAAATACAGCTGTTCTGCAGACCCTCCTCCTCAGCCAGCAGGATGGCTTAGGATCTGACTGTCCCAGGAGGAAAAGCAAGAGTCAGTAGGGATGTATGAAATAACAGGAAGGAGTACTAACATGGTTCTTGGTGGTTGAGATGTAAAGAGGACAGATCCAGTCCTTTGTGAGAAAAAAAAAAAAAAATGTTTTTTCTCTTTGCAATAACATTCTGCAAGTTACACACTGCAAAACTTCTTGGTGGCCAGTCTGAATTATTCCCATGTAAAGTATGTTCAAGAACATGCCCAGATAGTTAATGGCTGAAAGCTGCTCTAAATTATCAGATATAAAATGCAGTAAGCAATACCAGGGTATCTTAAAATGAAACACAAACTAAGTGTGTGGTACATAATAATTACATTGTATGAGCAGTCACTTTTAGTACCTTCATATAGTAAAAAGAAACTGCAGTGGAAAGCAAAACATAAAGGAAACAGAAGGTAAAAGGTTATTGCGCCTATTACCTATTATATGGAGTTGAGAAGGTTGCTAAAACAACATCCCGGCCATTGAAATGGATAACATCTGTAACTGCCTGCAGTATGTTAAAGTAGAAGTGTGAATCGCCAGGAACCGAGCAGTTCAAACGAGCCTTGAGAAAGGAAGTCCACTGTTTTTCCAGCACTCTCTGAGATCCTCCCATGTCATTTTTGCAAACCTGAGCCACCCTTGGGAAAACTACCTGGAAGGAGTAGAGCAAAAATAATGGAGAAAATTGAATGTTTGTTTGAACTAAAAGACTTTGTTGAAATTCTGCTTTTAAAACATTTGGAATAAGACAGCAAGGTGCTTAATTTAATCCTACGTTTTCATAATCTGTGACAAATAAGAAACAGAAAAATTCAGCTTTGGAACAGTGTGCTATAAAAGATAAGGCTGTGGCATTTACTATGCAGCCATAAATCCTTCAGGAGATCTGTTCTCAACCCATATAAAACTCATTTCCATACAGACTGCTTAGCTCTATTTCCCCAAACAAAAGCACATTTTATATTCACAATCCCTGCAACCCACGCTGCCTGCTCTGACTCCTGTGTTTTCAGCACTTAAAAACTATGCAAATCTTGCTGGGCTTTTATTCCTGCCCTCCACCTTTGTGACCTTGGTCAGCTTTTCTGACTGCTTAGTCAGAAAGCTATTGTGAAATTAGCAAAAATGCAGAAAGTGTTTAATTATTCTTTTCAGAAAGGCAGAGTACAAAATTCCTGCCCCTGTTTACTCAGCACTCCAATTCAGATTTCTTAAAGAAAAATATCTCCGTGCTTTGGAATCCATTTTTAACAATTACCTACTGTGCTGATCTAACTACATTTGCCTTGTGCTTTTTATGATTCGAGAAAAAAGATTCCAGCATACACCGCCACTGTAAGAAACCATCCTGTTTCAAGACAGTGCAATGTTTCACTCCAGCCAACCTTTTGGCTTGAGCGATAGGAATCTTCTCAAAATGATAACCTTGTCATTATGATTTATGGTTCTCATTTCAAGGTCACTCCTAACAGCACTGGCCCAAGAATAGCATATGTTTTCCTCCTCCTGAATCTGACAAAGTCATTCAAGGCAATGTTTTTGCACTTACCTTTCCCATGCTGTTGTACTCCACTGCTATTTCCCGGAAGAAGAAGTAAATGTAATTTCCATAGTCCACTGCCTGGACAAAGTATGGTTCTAGAAAAAAAAAAAATCAAACAAGACATCCTATTTAGACACCATGTACAGCATATAGTATGCAAAAAGAAGCCAAATATATTCACACTGAACATCCAAAGGTGAAATGCCTGCATTAGACAAACTGGCTCAGTTTTCAGAACTAGCAACATCACCACTGCAGAAAAATCAGTGTCTGGGGACAGGACAGCTGGGGACAAGTCTGTGCAACATCACTGCAAGGTAGTTAAGTGTTTGCCACTAGTAGGTCTGCCCTGTGTGGAGTATGGGGAAAGGTAAAGAGGCAATATACAACAGTATGCCTGGGGGGTCCAAGCAGTGCTCTTTATTGCATGCAGACTGTTTGTAGAGGGAATAACAAACCATGTAAGTGTTTCTGCCCACACGTGTCTGTATCAGCAAGCAAAGTGGGACAGCTAAAGTTGACACCTGGCAAAACATTTCTGCATGCAGAAAAAGACCTCAAACTATGGCTTTGCTCACTGTTAAAATCACTCCAAATGCTAACTATTCATAACGCCTACGTGAAGCTAAACAGCACTGTTCTTAACAATGAGGGCATTTAGAGTACAGAAATTGCCTAATTCAATGGCAGCTGTACAGTCCCTAAGAACCATAAAAGAAAGGCTTTGTGCAATATTCCCATAATTTTATTTTCATTGATGAATCTTAATGTTACAGGACAAACCCTCTATACTTCCTGAAGCCCTAACTGTTACCTAACACAGTCCTGAGGCAGTGATATTTTCAAACACGGCCCAAGCACATCAAGCCCTGCAAGTTCCACCCTTTACATTCAACAGCTGTGAAGTGATGGATTTCAGCTTGGAAAGCCTGCTGGAATATATATTCTGATCTACCGTGCTCACAGTTTCTGTCAGGTCCAGTAACTTGAGGTCAGGAGAAGAGGGAAAGAGATAAACAGATCAGTCTAAGTAAAAGATGTAATTTAGTTCTTTCTGCCAGAACACGTTGGTGAAATGAAATGACAGAGAGGTCTGTCAGGAATCCAAGACTCTCATCAGAGATGCCGCTTTTTTCATTTTGTTTATCTACCTTTCAACCACTTGGAGTCATGTTTAACTGTCCGCAGAGTTGGGCTGTCTCCAAGGCTCCGGTATATGACTGCATCTATTGCAAGGAAGTCGGTCACTGTGGCAGAATACAGCTTTCCCTCTAGGGAGGAAGTAAAGAAGAAACAAGGGGGGAGGAGCATTAGAAATAATATAATTGCTTTCTCTCATCAGTCAAATGAGACGGAGCAAACGAAATCATCACAATCGCCTTAGGAACATTGAAGGGAAAAAATCCAACTAGGTAAATGAGACTGAGCACTGAACAAGCAAATCACCGGTTTTCGAAATGGTTATTTCAGAGGAATGCTATGGGAAAAGAAACCATATGGAGTAATTCTTCTCCAGTTTAGGTAAATCATACTGAACTACCCTATCCACTTTTCCTGCACATGCCTCTGGTTCAATACTCATAAATTCTGCCTATGTATGTGAGCAAAATAAATATGGGGAAGCTGCAACAGAACTGTTAGTTTTAACTGGGAGGGCAAACCAGACAGGTCTTAAGGACTGTCAGCTAATTGACACATATGCAAATTTCTCCCTCTGAGAGCACTTCTCCTCTGCCAAAGATCACTAGCAAAAAATTAAATAGCACGCAGGGAGACTAGGCAAAACAGGGATGCAAAGAGATGGATGCAGATTGCCTATCTATGTTTCTTTTCTATAATGGGTTTTAGTCATTTTCTGCATGAATTACGGATTCCTCTCTTTTAAAGAACTAGAGGACAAATGATAAGAAAGGGTCTACATAATGGCACCTAAGGACATCCAAAAGATGCAAAACTATCAGCAAGTAAAAGCATGAGCTCCAATGGCATTTTGAAAAGACACTTGACTTGTTGTCTAATACGTTTGTGGGTCATGGTAACTGTACAGTGCTGTTTTCATGTGTGAGACAGATCTTGGAACACTGATGTCTTCTGGGATCATGGCACGAGGATGGCAACTTCTGTCTCTGTTGTGTCTACACAAAAATCAGAATGGCTTACATCTCCTTTGACAGAGGTTATGTTGGGTGCTGGGCCCTGAAGGAACCAGCACTGAGGACAAAACAGAGAAGTTTCTACTAGTCAAGTTCTCCTCATTGCACTTACAGACGACATTTACTTTCAGCTCAAGATTTAAAAATCAGACTGGTTTTTATTAGCAGGACTGTACTCTTTGTTCTGAGCCCCACAATTCCCATCATTATTTGGCTATTTAAAATCGGGCTTTTTTCCTTAGCAAAACCAGAAAAAAATAATTACAAAAAAGAAGCAGATACTAAAAACAGTTTTAAAATAGAATAAAAAGCTGAATTGTTTAGATATGGATGTCTGAACTCATGTTAATACAATCACACATTTATTTTCTTTCCTGCCAAGTTCCTGAAGACCACGTGATCAATTACAATTCGCACATATCAGCCGTAACAGCTACAGGCTGCAAGAAGAGCCATATTCATGTAAGTGCCCCCAGTAGACTCAGATGAGCTGGGTTAATGCCCTAAACTGCTCTGAAACTGCTTTTCATTGCACTCTGAAAAGTTATCATGGGTATCGATTTGTATGGCATATCAAACAGTGATTTTCTGAAGCCAGCAGTTTTCCAAGCTATATTCTACAAGATTTTATTTTAACAGTATAAAATTTATTCTGAATCATCATGAAAGAGTATGATCATTTCTATAAATATACTTTTTATTTTCAAATAATGCAAGGACTTCTTCAGTGACAGCATGGGAGTCATCTTACCAAACTTCAGCTGCATGCAAGGTAAATGTTTACATTAAGTTGGTCATAAATGCTTTCTTGACCAGTAGAGTAAAAAAGGCCCTTCTGTAGGTCATTCAGACTGCCCTAAGGATAGGGAATCTGACACACATGGGATAAATCTTTCTCTGCAGGTGTCTCTCTCTTTCCATGGTTTATGAACTATGTGCTACAATCAGAAAATTTCTTCTTTATGTTCCTTTTACTGTAATTAAGAAATTACATACTACTACCACCATCATCACCATTACTTTTGGAACAAAATGACCCATTTATTTACACTCTAAAGAGTAAAAAAAAAAATAAAATAAAAAAATCTCTCCTTTGTGAGACAGATGATGCGACCTCAAACACTGCAGTGCTTAATAAAACCCTTCAGCCACAGCTTCAGTTGAGAGTGGCTGAAGTAATACTTGCACGCTCTTAAATCTTTAGAGAAATAGCTAAAGTATTTCCACATGAGCACCCAGGCTCTGCTTCCTAGCATCACACCTGCTGAAAAGGGCTGACGTTATCATGGCTGACTTCTGTATTATCTTTACCACCTATTTTACAGCCAAATCTGAGAAAAGATCAGCAGGGTTCATACTAAGAGAAGTTCAATAAAGAAAAAATTTAATGAGGAATTCATAAAGAGAGGTACAAAGCCACCAAAAAATCAACAGCCCAAATTAACCCCACTGGTAAGAACTCACATTTTTTTAACCATTGTAGTAGAAATCAGAGTTAACTGTATTCTGCTGCATGCAGCATAAATCATTATTAACTAACACACTTCTCTCTTTTGCCTACAACAGCTGGTAACACCATATTGAGACATTTTCTGCTTTAAAATAAAATCACCTTCCCTTTACTTCTAGATCTAGAAAAGGGCACATCACAGTATGTTCTCTAACTTCCTTTTATTATGAAGGTTAACTTAAACTTAGAGTTCTTAAAGAGCATATCCTGCCTGCTTCTCATTAAAGTTCACACAGCCTTCACTTTCCTTCACTTTTGCAGAAGCTGGATGCAGCCAGAAATGGTGCCTCACACTGGCATGGTATCATATTATCATGAATTGAGGAAATATTGTAATATTGAACCAGGAAACTGAGGCTTCAGGCAATGTTTATGATACTGAAGTTAAGCCCAGAAAAGGGAAGGCTTCTGTGCTAGTGATTTCCTTATGCCCCCTATTTTTAGTCATTATTCATTCCCATTGCCACCTTTTAGATTATGGAAATCTGGACTCAAGAGGAACAGTTCTGTGGTAAGCCTGGGCTGCAGGACAGAAAGCAAAAAGTTTATCTCCGTCACGTTACCTGCGAACAACGCAACATTGGCATGCTTTGCATCATAGGGGCACCTGGCCATTCCACTGAATTCATCTCCCAGGAACTCCAGAGTATCCATCTGAAAAACAAAAGGGAGCTCCTCAGATAGAGAAACAAAACTTCTTACCCAGGATGAGGCTTTATGGCAGTGTCTCTTCTTTGCTGAGTAGGGAGGAAGGCCCTTTCTCTAACCGTGCTCCTGACTATGAATTAAAAACCTGACAAAAATCATGGTGTTAAATAAAATCTGTCTGAAGAAAGTGTATCCAGTAAGTCAGGCATTCTTTTGGAGCTAATGACTCTTACCCCAACACATTTTACAAAAGTCTTCAGTCTATATTTTATCTGTACACAAGCTTCCTGTTGAATTGTAGCAGGCTATGTGGTCTGTGGTTCTGGCAAGGATTCAAAATTTATCCTCAACCGTGATCCAACAGAAGCGCTCTTATACACAGAAAAGACTGCAAGCCACAGCAGGCAGAAGAAACAACACTAGGACAATTATCTGTGTGTGCATTTTTCTCCCCAAAGTCCGGAGATCCTTCTGCTCTAGTCTCAACAGTGGTGCTCTCTTCCTTGATTTGCATACTCAGAAGGATGCTCTCCAAGTCTTACTGTATCAGTCGAGTCTGTGTCACAGAGAAATCCTCTTACCATCAGGCAAGGATTAATCTGTGCAGGAATTGTAAAATCTGAGGCTTAAGTGTAACTCCTGGGAAATAAATTTACCCTGGGCACTGATAATGATACCAATATACAGATCAACTTTACGCTAAGTTCAAGAGAGTTTAGTGAGCTACAGTGGAAAGGCACAGCTCTTACCTCTTTAAGATTTTTATACGACCCTATTTTGGGAATAAGAATCTTTCTAGCATATTCAAGTAACTTGAGCAGCTCATACTGTATAAATCACATACACTACAGATTCACAGAGCATGAAAAATAACCCACCCAGCACCATCAACTACTTCAATCAACTTTTAGCTCGTATGTTATAGCACCCAAGCCTTCCAGTGGATGATTTGTCATCGTTTGTTTTCTGTCATGTATCCTTCCTGTCAAAATCCACTCTGAATGGAATTAGTTGTCTTTACTCAAGGGCTGAAAAGAATTTCATGTGATAGAGAGAGGAAGTGAGTTACAGTCCTGAGCAACTTTCTCTGCACTGAGCTCCATACCCCAGGCTCATCCACACTTCCACTGGCAGGGTGGAGGGACAGCTCTGTTTTCTGTTTGGCATATCTTTAGTGATCTCTTGATAAAATGCAGAATTACATGGAGGAAAAGCCAGGGCAGGTGTTGGAGAGACATTCTGCTGACTCCCAGAGGTACCACTATCCAGACCCTCCAGCTCAGCAATGGGTGAGACAGTCTGCAGGGGCTGTGCATCACAGGGAATGAAACACCTGCAGCAAGGGTAAGGAGGGACATTTATATCCCTTACATCAGGATGGCATGGGAATTTGTATTTGTATTAAAGGACAGCTTTCTATCAAGGGGACGGGTTGAGATTTGTTGCCACATTAATGGTGTTGAGAGCTAAAAAATGACAAACTGCTGGAAGACTAAATACAGCACTGAGACTGAGAAGCTTCATTGCATCGCTATGTGCAGGATGCAAGGAAAGGAAGAAAAGAAATGGCTGTTAACAGACCAGCTACCTGTACCACACAGTTACTGTGACGCAGGTTTGTATTTTTATCAAATCTCATTCTTCCTTCACAGACTGAAAGAAAAGACTACCCTGTCTTCTCTCCCGTGTTTCCTAGACTATAACCATCACAGTGGCTAAACAAGGTAAGGCAGCATTGCAGAAGGAGCAAGGAAAAGCAGCAGTCACAGCAAATACCACTAAGGAATTAATTTTCCTGGATGTTAATGTCTTTGCTCTGTTTTTACAATAACTCTGAACCCAATCACATGAATGAGAATTGTGCTATGACGTTATCAGAAGCACCATTAGCAAAGCTAAATTTTCTTTTTCCTAAAGATGGATGAGAAATGACCTGTGGGACAAAGCAGTGCCTGGAAAAGCAGAGCCTAGATATCAGGGGCCTAAGTGAATTAATTTCAAAGCTACTCCAGAGACATTAACTGTTGGGGGTTATATCAGATTATACTGGTGCAAGCTTGAGAAAATGGAAAATATTTGAATAAATGGGCTGTGTTAAAATACAGATAACAGAGACTCACCATGTCAAAGAAAGAAATTGGGGTCAAGGAATTAAGGTCGAGTATCCATGGACCAGCACAGTTTTCTACACTGCTCTAGATGATGTTTTGGCTTTGCAGGTCCCCAGCTAGTGAGGAATACATGACCCTCCTGCTGTACCTTCCCCTGTAGAGATCTGCTGTCAGTCACTTTTACAGCACACAATGCCATAGAATCTCCACAGCTTCCATGTCTGCTGGGTCCCCAACACTAAATTTCTCAGGTTTTGCTGTGTCAAGCCCCCAAGCATCTTGAGAGCTGGCTTTGAGATTGAGAACAGCACAGTAGAGACTTTCTGAGGAGTGACCATAACAGCACAGTAGAGACTTTCTGAGGAGTGACCATATCCCCAAGCAGGGATCTGAAGGACTCTGCACCTATGGAGGGCAATGCAAAGTGGCAATAAACTCTTGATGTGCAGGAGTTGCAAAGAAGTAATCAATCCAAGCAATCCTCAGAAATCAAATCAATACTGAGCTCTGTATCACTGAAACAAGTCAGGATAAATGCTGCGGAGTTGAATGATGCACTGTTGAATGACAACCTCATGCTGTTACCAGCATAGTCACAATAAATCCAACAGAAAGACAAGGCATAAATGAAATCCCACAAACAGATCACATACCTTGTAGTTCCTGCAAGAAGGGTTGAATGCATTTGTTCCACAGATAAACAGTGTATCCTCATTTCTTTTTAGGAGAACCTTAATAAAATTATGACATTCATCCTGAAGAAAAATAATAAAAGTGTTTCAACTACTGCATTTTGGGTGCCTGGCTTTATTTTTATGCCATGATATTTCACTGTCAGGTCTAAAATGAAATTGGCTGGTAGCCACTGTGATATTCTGGGCTTTATTTCAACTATGTTTAACTGACAATGAGCAAGATGCAACTGATTTATATTCCAGTGGTTTAAAAATGGTTACAAAGAACTGAAGATATGACATTCATATTATAGCTCTGATTTTGCTATTGTTCACACAGGTGAATTCTGTCTGAAAGGTATTGCTTTCCTCAAGAGTGATAAACCTGATCTTCTCATCTATGTGGCTGTAAGACAGTACTATCACCAATGCAATGTACTGGCATAAAGTATCTTTAACTAGAAGGGGAAGGAGGTGTAAAGAATGAAAGAGTCTCCATCTAATTCTAATGCCACTTGTATAAGTCACATGTTACAGTAAGGTAAAATTGGTGTGAGAAACAGTCCTTTTACAACTGTACACATTCATGCTTTCTGATGTTTTACACAAACTTCTCAGTAAATTCCTGAAGGAGGACGGACAGCAGCACTTAGCTTTTGAAGCAATGGTAAGCAAAACCAGTACACTAAGCATTATGTCCAAAATCCTCAGTGCTTTAAGTGTTTCAGGATATTGCTGTGGCTCCTGTCGTAATGTTTTATCACATTAAAAGTAAACTATTTTTCCAAATTAAGGCTTTCAGTAAGTTGATGGAAAAAGCAATTACTGGCAAGAAGTGAATGGCATGATCCATTCTACATCACAGACAGCAGCCTGAGATAATAGTGAAGCAACTAAACTGAAGTGGCAGATGCAGAAGAAATGAAAATTGCCTACCTTATGTTTTCCCTTCATTCTGCATGTGTCTACATCAGCTTGTCTAGATTTCCATGTCAATTTCTACAAGGATCAAGAAAGAAATCAATTAGAGCCCAGAGGTTGTTGCATTTGATTTCAGAAGTAGAAGTCCCTTAGGGGAGACTAGCTGTTGAACATATATTTATTGAAAGCTTTCTGCACCCTTTCCCCATGATTAATTCACCACAATAGTGAAAGATCAGTGATGTGGAGCATTCACTTAATTTTGTGTTGTCATCTACTCATTTGACTAGAGACCTATGTTTTGTCTTTTTTTTTTTTTTTTTAAAGCCTAAACCAATAGATTTCATCAATAGGCCAACTTTCAAAAATATGTGCACTTTTCTTAAAAGTACTAGATGCTTTCTGCTTTTAATTTGATCTTGTTCTGCCAATCAGAAAATACATTTATGGACTATAAACCCTAACTGGATTCTAAATTGAGTACGTATTCTGGAAGATGACATTTTAGACTAGCAAAGAAATCAAATTCAGGTAATGCTGATCACTTCAATTCAACTAAAAGACTTAGAGACCCTTCCACCTATCAAGACACTGCTTACTTCATCTGCTAACACTCTTCCTACAGAACATTTACAGGTAAATCCCAGCATCGATTTTTTGTGGTGAGTTTCAGGGGTGGTCAAATGTGGTAGGCTGATTAACTATAATAAAACTTTATTTAAAAACATATGGCCTAAGATAGTAACACCTTAGACACTACTGACACAATAGCCCTGACAGCGTTTCCCATCAGTAAACCAAGGCACTGTGAATTCACGAAAGGCTCCAAGCTGAATGGGTAACCATAAATGATTATTTCCATTACAAGCCCATGCCCTCACTTTGAGAGTAATTGGGTATAAGCTCATCTTCAGGATCGTTCACAGTTATAATGAAACACTGCCCCCTCCTACGGTGGAATTCATCTAATGCCCAAATTTGTAAGACCTTCTGTTGGACCAAGGATGTATTTGGAACATATTACACTATATGAATGCAATGCAAAGGAGCGGATGGGAGATTATTTCTAGTATGTTTATGCTAATATACAATATGGTAATATAGACAAAGCTCTTCTTAGTTTGAATGTAACTTCCCATGGAGATAATGCGAATACATCTACAAAGTGATGTTATAATAAGATTTTATTTAGTGAGTACTCGCATGAGTGAATAAAATTTGTGTGCATGAAAATATGTAAATACCACTGGCCTTTTATGATGAAAGTATCAGTATACTTAATTGGGATAGTATAGCTTTTATAGAAAAATGCTGAATATAAATGAATAGATGTTTGACAGATGTTCCATCAGGGACCCCACTGTATTTCAGTACGGATTGCTTATCAGCCCAGCTAAATCACTTATCAGAAATTCACAGAGGACATGATTGCTATTCTAGCTTTCCCCAAATATGATTAGCAATGCCATCTTACTTGCTTATTACAGTTTTTACAGCAGTGCTGGCAAGTTGTTTGAAACAATGTCATCTTCCTATTTATTTGAAGCTTGTTCTAGTGTCCTTGTTTTCTGGATGATAATAAAAGCTACTTACTTTGCTAAAATAAATTTCTTCTGTATGTGATGTGTCCATATCAACGGTATAAATATGGTCCCTGGAAACAAAGGCAAATGAATGCAAAATCAAATGAAGTAGTCAGACAGTTCATTTTCTATGAAGAGAGTTATCTATCACAAGATAATCCATAATCCATTCAAAAAAAGATCACAGGTCTTACCGGGGAACATTACTGGCAGCATCGCCTGCTTCTTCCAGAAAAGCACTTTCATATATAAACTCTTTTACTTCCCATTAAGAAAAAAAGAAAAATGCTACAAAACTTCAAAGCAAGATTCTTTCCCAAAAGCAATTATTTCAACAAATGAGATTTTGGAATGGAGATGAGCCTCATATAATTTCTGCTCTATAGGTCCTACAGCAGATGCCATGATCTAGCATACAGATGTTTTTGTGTATCCTGAAATCAGTTGCAATAGCTCATAGGCAGTCTTTTCCAGATTCCTAGGCTTGCAGTCACTGTGCCACATTTAGCCATTCAGGATTAAAGAGAGGTTAATGTTTCTTTCTTTTTTTTTTTTTTTTTTTTTTTTTTTTTTAAATTATGTCTCTAACCTCAGCTGTGATAATTTGATTGACAAGATGGTAGGCAAAAGGCTGACAGCCACAAAACTATTCCCAGAAATCATTCTTCTCTTCACACACTGGTGGCCAAACTAAAATATAAAATACTCTTATGAAAAAAGTTCACATGTCCTGCTTGCATTTACTTTCCTGTTTTCCTGAGAACCTGTCCCTCTCTACAAATTCACTGCCAATCTCTCCTTGGAAAGAGGAAATAGACTCAGCTACTCAGGTAAAGAGATATTTTTAAACATACTCCTCTGTGTAAACTGAGAACAAGGACATCTCTGTATGGAACTTAAAGTTTGAAAAAACCCACCAACCCACAATGCTGTAGTAACTGCCACATCAAACTGGGACTGCGTATCTTATTTTTCCTTGAAATAACATTGGCTTTTTTCAAAATGCAGGAAGCTGTGCAGCTGGAGCACGATCCACAGCATTGGAGGGGTCTGAGGAAAGTAGGATACAGACTGTTTCCATTTTAGAAATCCCTGCTTTCAAGGTTAGCTTAATTTTATTGGGTTTTGGGGCAACAGTGCTAGTCTCTTAAATAAAGCAAACACAAAATACTGCTATAAGAGGAATAAGCAACACTTCTCTAACGTGGAGAAAAGAGGCAGCATTGTTGCAGGGAACTGGCTTTTAAAAATCTACTGTCTGCTATGGCGCTTGAGGCTGTTTGCTTAGTAAGATGCCAAATTGAGGAGTTGTGGGTTTTCTTCTCCTCCAGACTCTGTAAAACCAGAGCTGCCATTTACTTTCAAAATTGTTTTAATGCTTCAGTTTATTATTTGCCTGACTTTACTGGCAGATCAATGGTCAGAGTTGGTGCTGAACTAAAATTACCTATTAGCATGATATCAGCCTCATAGATTACTGCACCGTTCCCTTTCTATGTACATCACTCTTTGTTGCTGTCACTCCTACAATATAAAAGTGGGAACAAAATCTCTTGAATTGCAAATTAGGTGCGACTGGAGCTCTAAAAACCTCCTTCCAGCATAGCTCTTGATTTTAATCATCAGTCTTGCTTTCCAGTGGTTATGGTTTTTTCTTTTTAAACAAGACAATTAGAAAATACAGTGGTGGTACTCAAAATGAGTCTTTAGTTATTTAGTTCCACTCTCAATAAAAGAGCATTCAGAGGATTTACTTTCTGGTTCAAGAAACAGTTCGAAGAATACTCAGATGCTAAGTTACAGGATCATTTGAAAAAGAGTTAGTATCAGGCAAATTACATATAATTTTCTCATGCCATATGTGAAACGTAGTTGCTGACAATGTCAGCAGAGAGCAAAAGAGCTGTCAAATTCAGGGGAGGGCTCTCTAACTACAAACAGTGTGGGATTGTCCCTGCCCTCCTTTTCCCACTGCTGCCCAACTCCTACTATCTGCTAGCTGTGGTATGTGTACAGCTCGCTGCTAATTAAGTTATTCTAACACAAATTGACTTAATCCTAGAGTTTCCGTTTTTCCCACCTCCAGTCAGCAGAACCGAGTTTTGTTGCCATGGCATAATCTTGTGGAGGAAGGGAATTTAAATAATGCCACCGGCTGTGCATGACCCTTGGCCACTCAGTGCATCGTCTGGAAATGTGTAACTGCAAATGAGGGAGCTATCCCGATGCTTTGCGGGCTCAATAAAACATTTTGTACATACACCAGGGATGGCAGATAACATGAACAAAAGCTGCCACTGCACAAGACAATGGGAGGAGGAGACATGGCAAACTTAGAAAAGGGTGTGCGTGCACGGGTGCGGACGAGTGTGAGAGACACAGCGAAGGAGTACCCTTCCCACGAGAAAAAAAAGAAAGCAGAGCTGGGTCTTTGCAGACTGCAAGCCAGATATTTGGACAGCATGGCTTCATGAGCTTCGGCTGAGTTATTCTTGTTTATATTGGCTGGATATCTCTGCCTGATAACATAAATTAGAGCCTTTCCAAAGTGACACAACATTATTTGGTAATCACTAATACAGAAGTCATGTATCCCCTATGACAAAATAAGCAACTGACAGACAGAAATTTTGTTGTATGCCAGTCGCTCAGTAATAAAGTGTTGGTGGTTCTCAAATCTGAATTAGCCCTCTCCTGCTCACGGAAACTGTCTGCAGAGAAAACACTGGATTTTCTAAAACAAGCAAACAAACAAAAAACCCAAACCCAAACCCAACAACCCCAAAATAAAAACAATGTTTAATCATTTGTTTTGATTGCTTTTCAGATAATTGGGTGCAAACGTAAACTTAGCATTGCTATATTTCACTGTCTAAACAAAGCAGCATGAAAGCAACATCTGATATGATAGCTAAGTTTTCAATGAACCTTGCTACAAAACTCTTTGAGAAACACCTTTGATTGTGTACATATTTGCTTCAGTCTCCAGATTTACTACTACCTCTAAAGAAGATGCAGTATTGCAGTTACAAACTTTCATTCACACTAGTTATCAAAGGGTGACTCATTTTCTGAAGTTTATTACTTAAAGAGAAAAATGACCTTTGAATTTTAACTTGTATTATAGAGGCTTCTCAGCCCAGCAGGGATTTTATTCAGTAACATGTGGAGGGGGAAAAGAATATGTTAAAGAGTTTTTGAGTTACCAAATGAAAGACGTATAAGAAGATTTTTTTGTGCTGGTGTAAGTACAAAACAGACCAGGTCTTTATTCTTTTTTGTAGGTCACAGGACCACAAGAGTATATAAGCACTCTCATTGTAGTAAACCATTTTATACAAATATATAGCCACGTAATATGCAAGAATGCATATTCACAGGCGAGTACACATACTATCCCCCAAATATTAGCATTCTTTATATAATTTGTGCATACAGTGGTTTCATATCCCAAAACGTTTTGCTGGGTTTCCCTGCTGTAATGCCAGTTGCTTGGGCACTGAGACAGTCTAATTGCGTCAGCCTCAGTCTGGGAACAAACTATGAATACAGCAGAGCAGAATCCACAAAGCGGATTTACCACCTTCTCACTGCAAATAATTTCCTAATTTAAAGAAAAACAAATAAGGAAAGCAAAGGGAACTCAGCCATGAAAAGAAGGAAATGCTGCCACCACCTTTCAAACCCCTCCAGCCTGCTCCTCCGCCCCACTCATTATCACACTAAATGCAGCAAAAATACCAATCCCGGAGCTCAGGCAAAGTGTAGGGAGGCTGTGCCGTGGGGCTGCCCGCTCTTTGTGCCCTACAACCAATGCCACCACAGCTCCTGCAGAAGGATGCATGCTCTTTGCACAGACATAATGCAAGGGCTTGGCATGAGTGAGAACCTAGAGCTCTGCTATCCAGACCCCATACAAACTGGTGTATGTGAGAAGCCCAAAGAAGCTAACCCTTAGCTGGTACAGCTTCATGCCTGGGTAGAGGAACAGGTAGAAATCTAGTCATCCAGCAGCTGGGAACAGGACTATGCAAAAACAGCTCTCAGTGACTCTGCTGGTGTAACACAACTAATTACTTGGTGCCAAGTGGAGATCGGCAGGCAGCTCTCCACCACAGGACACATCTGACCACCCAGAAGATGGGGAGTGGCTGTTTGAGAAGAAAGCCAGGCAGCCCCCGGAGGCTGCCAAGGATTTTGAGGACAGGGCTGGTGGTGAGAGGCTGCCTGTTCAGCAGCTGTTCCCTCTCACCTCCTGGCCATCCCACCCACCACTTCTCCCATCTGCAGAAACAGCCTGACTCTCTGTGGCACAGGCAGAAGGATGTGTATTTCTCTGATGGAGGAGAAGGACCAGAAAACAGGCAGGAAACAAGCTGCTACCGGAGCGGGAGCTTGCAGGGGAGGTTCCAAACAGGATCCGGGTCCAAGAGCTCCTAAATTGGATTACACACCCTTGCTAATCTGGACCCTTCTTGCATTCATCCTGCATCCATTGGGTAATTCCCACTCTAAAATCGTCAATCTCCTTTGTTAATGACAAGCAGGGAGAGGAAGTGTTAATGTCTGATCTGTGCCAGGTTGGCAGCTGTATAAAGTGGTGTAGCTCTACTGAAGCTGATGGTGCCATGCTGAGATATGCAAACTGAATGGGTGGCTCTACATGCAATTTTTATAAAAAGGCATGTGCTTGTATCTGCGCAGTATAGATCTCAAAAAAAATCCAGACACCAAATTCAGTTAACCTTGCTGACTACATCAAAAGAACAGCACCAAATGTTTGCCTCTTTTTTTTCTTAAGATATTAAAAACATGTCTAAAACAGCAACATTACAGTTTAACACCACTAATTTGAACATGCATTTGTGCACCAGAAGAATCATCCTCTAAAATATGTCATTAATGGTGCACACAAACAAAATTACGGGATGAGGACGGACTCACTCCTCTGTGGGGCTGAACAATTTCTCTGCCAACTTCCCTCTTGCTGGATTCAAAGGGAGGCAGAGGTGTGTAGTTCTGAAGGGACTCGCTCAGCACCTCACAAAACTGAACCTTAGCTGACTAACAAGGTTTCCGATATGTCTTATTATCAGGCTGCAAGAACTCCCAATATCCCTCATTTTCTCCTTCCTCCTCTGAAAGCAGCAAGGGAGGTGAGGCAAAGCAGGGGACTACTGACCTAGCAGCAACGTAGAGGGTCCTGTTCATGACCATGACCAGCTGGATGTCCAGCCGGTGCCTCTGCGTGGTGTTCCGCCCTGGTTTGTGACCCACAAACACCGGATACTGTCTTGTATCTGTGAGAAAGGAAAAAAAAAAACAGAGTCAAAAGAGAATCACAAGCTGAAATGGTGCTAACGTGGAGTACCATGGGGCCCAGCTACGGCCAAAATCTGTGTTTTCTGTTGTGCCCTGGCAGCACAGCCTGGGGTTGGAAAGCATGAGAACAGAGGGCCAGAGAGTTCTTCAAGGTTACAGTCTTTGCAGCTGCAAAGGAGAAAGTCATCACCTTTGTAGAAGACAAAAATTGTGAGTTTTTTTAGAGCGTAAAGCTGTTCTGAAGCTCTTGGCACACAGGTACATGGCCCTTTCTCACAGTTTTTCTTTCACTGCTTGCAGAGCTTAAATGCTTGCTCCTGGCTGCCAAAGTGTGTCTAACAGGACAAAGCTGTTTCACAGCGGCCCATCAATCACCACAATGACTGGACTGGTAGTGGTTAAAGCAAAAGACTTGGCTCTCCTTGGTTCAAACTGCCAGCTCTCTGGGTTTCCTACAGGACTGGACTGCTATCATAGAACAGATGTGGGGATTTCTGAGAAACGGTGGGAAACCACCACTTGAACTGTATAAAGTCAAAGTCAGTGCATATTATTCTGGCAACAAGTCTGATACTCCAATTCTTCTGGCAACTGGACAACAACATTGACTGGAAGCCCTGAAGTGAGCTTGTGCTATTGGCAAGTCAGCTTTCCCCTCAACTCTACCAGTCGGCAAGAGCATTTATTCACTCTATTCCCACCAGTTTTCTGGTGAGACCTTGGCATACATGGGATGCGTGGCTGCCCCCCAGATAATCTGTGTGTACAACCTGTAACGACAGCGAACAGTTCTGACAAAGGGTCACCTTGCTATTAGACTTCATACGTATATGTGAGACATCTAGATGCACCAACTAGGAAGCTAGCTAATTAAACAAAATGATGGAAGATAGGAGTAGGATAAACCTCTGATGAGCATCATCACCAGTGCAGAACTGCTGCATGTGTATGCTACAGAGCTGACTAGCATCTAGCTATACCTGAGCCTTTTTCCCATCAATATGCTTTCCCAGACACCTGGAGCTGTTTGAGGGAGTCTTTTTTTTCAGAAACTCAGCTACTGCTTTAGTGTTTTCAGCTACTCTCCTCTGAAAGTATTTTCCCTGTTAAGTATTGATTCACAGCATGGCTTCAGCAAAGCACCTGAGAATGCCATGTGTCAAAAAGCCCGGTGGTAAAACTGGATAGATACGGGAACTTCCCCGCAAACCAGATGCTGAAAACTCTTGGAGAAACAAATTAAGAGAGCCCAGGCAGGATTTATGTTCAGAAGTTTAATCCTTCTGACCAAGCCCTACATGAAAAGTGCCAAGTTTAACTGTCAGGCTGTCCTCTGTCCACTACCATTTCCTCTGTAACTCATGGATCTAGCATAAGCTGGGGTCCACACATTCATGTGGACTTTAGCATGCCGTGCCATGCCACAGAGGAAAAAGTTCCATTTCTCCAACAGGATCAAGACTGACTATTTCTGCATTAGCAAGGATGATTAGCATCACCCTTATGGAGCTGAAAATGTTGGTGCTAAAGACCCAGTGGTCACACTAGACATGGTTCAGCAGGGTTTGCTTCAGAGCAGTTCTGCTCTGTTTTTGTATCCCTGTTGCCTGTTAGCATTTGAAGCACATCAAGCGCACCCCTGGAGTCTGTCTTCCAGCTTGGTGTTACCCAAGATGACAGGTCTATGGGTGCCAAGGCCACCCCAACACACAGGAACCAAGGACAGTCAAGAGATTCACTTTAAAATAAAATTCCTGATCCAAAGTAGGATTAAATATAAGCCTACTCATTGCTGACTTGCTACTCCTTAGCATACTTTTACAGACCCAGGTGCTAAAGACTTCCTTTTAAACATCTGGACCTTTGGGACTTCAGAAGACTTTTTTTTTTGCAGTAAACGTAACTGAGCTGAGGTAAATGAGAATCATTTATGCTAAGCCTGACTTGCACGGAGAAATGAACAGAAAACTCTCCACCTGTTTAGCCAGAAAATCTCAATACTGATTCGCAGCTGTCTGTGTTACACTAGATTTTGGAGAGTTTGCCAACTACTGTTGGTAAGAAAGAAGAGAGATCCTGTTACAGAAGATTCTTTGTCTTGATTTGGTTTTTAGCTACATTTCTGCTTAGCAAAATATGCCTAATGCTAAAGTGGAATCCATCTAAGCTTAAAAAAGTAACCTCAATTATTTGTATTAGATCAACAAATTGTATTTTCAGAGCTCAGACACTTTAGTGTGCTATGTCTGATACTCTCGGGTGCTTCACTGATTATCCAGAACTACATTTTTACAAGTCAGGTGGCGGACACTTTGATTAGGGGATGGGGGCAGGGAGAAGGCTTCCTTCCTTTGCTGCTGGATAGAGCAAGATATTTGATTATGCTACTGAAGTGTCTCTGTTTGAGAAGGAGAACAGCTATGGTTTTGGAAGATCAAGCAGTTTACCACCCAGTAGTCATAAATCAACATAAGTTGTGTTCCTATATCAATATCTGAGAACGTAAATTGGCTAATCTGGGAGATGCCAAGAAAAACAACTTTATTCACTGCAACTGTAACAAAATACTGTTGATTTGAAGTCCCATGATCAATATTAAGCAAATTAAGTCTTCTACCATCTTATACTTACAGTTGCCATGCGAAATACTGATTGGCTCAGAATCTTCTGGGAAACCAGCCCCAGCAAAGTGTAGCAGTGTGAAATATAGCAGCAAGGCTTCTGACCTCATAGTAGTTCAGCTGGGAGGCTTCACTTCTTCACTTCACCCTGTGGAGGACAAACAAGGGCTTAAGTGCCTTCTGTCAATTCAGTTTTAACCACTGCATACAGAGAGCTAAAAAGAGTCAATGGAAAGTAGAGGGAGCTTTCCTACTCCTCAAGCCTCTGACCATACCTGAGGAGGTATGTCATGTTTCTAAGTAGAAACTGCCCTAACAGGCCAGTTCCTCTTTAGCCTATGCTCCAGCGGTGCCACATTTTGCTTGAGGATAGACTTAAGTATCTGTGAGTTACAAAGAATTTTCTGCCGCAGCTGCTTTTATGCAATAGAGAAACTTCTTCTCCTGCACTGATTGACAGCTGACAAGAGTTTTCCCAGAAATATTTTGTTTTCCCTTTCTTTGGTTTACATAATCAGATGATGACATGATCACACACACCATAAATAAAAAAAAAAAAAAAAAGCACACTACATTATTCTGGTTAAAAAGAGATTAAGGGTTATACTATGGGACTGATTCATACCCTGCAGAGTTGTGAATCAAGTGAAGAAACACTGAGAGAGCTTGATGGAGCGTGCAGAACATGTCATTGGGCTTTACCATAAAAATATGTACCCATAAATTTAGGTGCCATAAAACTAATACTCCAACTTGTGATAAAATAAGGGAGAACAGAACTGTCTAAAACCAGTGTTTTTTTTCCCCGTGTTCAACTGACGCATTCACTCATTCACATTTCATGTACAAAAATATCCTTAAATCTTGAAGATAAAAGGAACCACAGGGGCCTTTGGATATAGTGAAAGAAAACAGCACATAATACAGTAAATAGCTCATAATTCCCAGGCAAATTTCACAGAGATGTTGATCTGCAGGGGAAATCAGTGTAAAAGTGGGGTTTTCTTTTTATCCCTTCCAGGGTTTCAAACCTTTGATGCCGTCTGCCAAAGATTTCTTTTGAACAAAGCTACTTTACAGTAGTCTGTCAGTCATTCAAGATTTATGGGCAGAAAGTCAAACTTCATAACCTACATAGTCTTTGAAACTTAATTTGGCAAACAAAGTGCTAACTTGCCCTTCTGCAACACCATTTAATACTAGATACCTATGCCTCCTTTCTCAATGCCAAAAAAAGCATTAACAAGTCTTGAGTGTTGCATTTTCATTTTTAATTTCACAGACACAGCTGATTCCTCATCTTTTACCCAATTGAAAAATGTCACAATAATCAATTTGCCTTATCAGATATTTGCTTTCAAATAAAATTTCAGCTCCTATAACTGGATTGGAATAGGGCCTCTGTTGCAGGGTGATACAGTCCATAAGGACTAATGATTTATTATACTCTGTGTTTGCCTACTATTATTCAAACACACAAATTGGAAACTTGGCTGTTTCTCTATTTCTATTAACAAAATAACTGAGAGACTGAGTTAGACTGAGGCTAGAAAAAATAAAATTTAAGTAAGGGAATGACTGACACCTTAACTGAACAAAGCGTCAGACAGGTGGCAAAGGATAAAAATAGCAAGAATAAATGCAGCACAACGCAGACACTGTCTGTCTATTAAACCTTATGTGAGAATGCATACTAGAAGATAGTACATACAAGCCCCAAGAGAAGCATTTCCATCTAGCACTGGTTAGGCCGATAGCTGTGTATGATTACTGACACAGCTATGTCTGCCTGCAGACACTTTCTTTACCTGTTTCCTCCATTTGTCTCTTTAATCACCTCTTACATTTTGTCTGGACTGTTAGCTCTCTAGGGCAGGAACTGTTTTTTTTCTATTTGTTTCCACGCACAGTGAAACATCATCTGGGGCCCTTAGGAATGCCCAAAGTAGAAATAAGCAGTAGAAGTAAATATAATACTTGGAAACACAGGTTCCCTCAAAAGGTTTGAATTAAAAGTAAGATATACACATTAAAGGGGTTAATTCCTTTGTCTCCACACATTTTTTTGAAATGTAATTTTCACACTTCAAAAATATTGCCCCTGTGGGTACACTACAAAGTGACAAAACAAAGTGCTGTTGTTGTATCTTTATACAACAATAGACTGGAATTCTTTCCTTCTTGAAATTGTTACAGTCCAATGCAGAAGTCTTTCCTGAAATGCGCATGAGGAGCAACAGTTTAAAAGGGAAGGACTTATCACACAATCCAGTTCTTCCACTCAAACCTTATTCATCCACATTATCAGTCTGCAGACTGACAATTCAAACCACTTGGCTCACAGTGAGACTCTGAAGCATAAGAATAGCTGCTTTCTGTTACTCCCTATCAGCACATCATCTGCTATCTAACAACGTGTGCATGCTATGAGGAAAGCATTACGGTACTGCAGACAGATCACTGCCACTCCACTCCGCTTCAGAGCTTAAAAAACTTTTCCCATGGGTGATTCTGCACCATCCTTACCTACTTCTCCTACAGACATGTGTACTGCTCTGTGTAAATATATATGGGCCACAGCTTCCGTGAAAATGAACAATGCCCAGCACACTTACTTTGTCAATTTATGTACGTTACGGGGCCAGATATTTTTTTCCTTTTACCTGAGAGAATTAACTGACAAATGAACTGACGTATTGCATTCTAACGAAGACTAGATTAGTAGGTTTTTAAGGGTATGAAATTCTCAGTCATCCTTATGGGTAGCTTCTGGGGAAGAAAAGAGGGATAAGAGAGGAAAAAAGCATAATTCTCTGTTGCTCTAGTGCTAACACTACAGCAACCAGAAGTTGTTCAAATTTATGCAGCGTAAATACAAAATGTCTACTTTGATCTACCAATGATTCAGGTGATCTGTACATCTGTATCAATGCCTGCACCAATGTAGTAACATTGAGTGTGACTCAAGTTGCACCCAAAGGCAGCTTTTTACTAGGAGGTAATTATTCAAACATAGTGTTACTTTTGCTGTTCTTACAATGGAGGAGAGAGCTGTACTGTTCCAGTGGAATTTCCGAAAAGTGCTGATTCAAGAAGGTCACACTTATTTTTAGTAAAAATTTCCTTTTCAGCAAATACTCAGCTCTGGTTAGGCTCCTGGGAGTGATGCAAATGTTCTCACTTGCAACTGTGCTGAAACTACTTTCTAATCAAAAGTGCTTGTGAACGAAGTGTCTGATGAAGCATGAGTAGCTAGACAGTGATGCTGAGCAAGTACAGGCACTGACTCCAAATAAAAGTTTTGCAAACATCGATGGAGAGATCCTCAGCCAGTGTAGACCACTGCAGTCCAGTCTGGCCTGCAATAAGCCATACCGGTTGAGAGAGAACTGTCTCTGAGGTCTCCAGTTCTCCCTGTTCAAAACATGATTACTACTCCTGTTGACAGAAGCTAGTGGTGGCAAGAAGAGTGTGTTTTGGTGGTGTTCTTTTATCAGCAGACATGCTAATAAAATACAGCCTTACAAATATTTAGGAGCATGTTTTAGAATCTGTGTATAATGAAATCACTTGTAGACATTGAACTGGTGGAATAGATTTCTTCCAAGCTTCAAAATCCCAACCAATCTGCTTCTTGAATGCCTAAGGCCAATGTAAATGCAACTTTATGCCAGACACTTTGATGCTATGATTCTTATTTTTGAAGTTGATGGTTTCAAATGCCTATGTAAGGTGACTTGTTCTGGTTACTTCCGTGTTCCAACCTTTTTGTCATATTACGATTAAGTATAAATAAACCATATAATCTCTTAATGTATCTAGAAATCAAAGTTTTGCCTTCCTAGATGGAATAAATTTTTTCAGTTTGTACACTGCAGCACAAAGGTGAACCACTTCTAAGTAGGAAGTTTGGATACTAGTGTAATATAGTTGCTATTAGTATTATATTTACTCATGCACATACATATATACACACATGCACATACATATACATATATATATATACATACATGTACATATACACATACCCTGCCACACACAGATACATGCTTGATAGAGGAACATTTAATTTTTTAAAAACATGCTGCTGACATGGAGAAGTTTCTGAAGCTAAAAAAGTAATGACCATTCCAAATTAAGGAGAAAAGTCTGATTTTTCAGTGCCAAGCGCCCTCCACTATGGCTATCCATGGCTATCTGAGCCAACAAGAAGCCACCATAGTGAGCTCTGCTTTTTGCTGTCTGATACTTTTAGCATTTAGCGAACAACACTCTGGGTGGTAATACAAATAGAATAGCTGCTTGGATAAGGAAATGATGACATGGATGCTGACATAATACCCTAGTAACCAGGTTATTATATCTACATCTTCTAAGTTCCAGAAAGGTTATACACATTAGATGAAAAATCCTAAATGGAAGAGCTAATTTCCTGGTAAACTCCATGAAAATGTAAGGCCAGACTTGAGCTTGAGAACAAATCCAACAGCAACAGCTATGACTGCATAGACACATCCATAAATAACTACTGACAGGGATTGTCTTCCATGTTCGAAAATTTCCCATCTTGTTGCTTTGGCCTCGCTGTACGTTCAGCTAACCCCAGAGTAACTCCAAGTAAAATCAAAGTATGTAATCATCTCAGAATTTTCCCATGGCACGGTAAGCCTGCTCAGTAATGGACAGATCTTGTTATATTCATTTATTACAAACCTTCTTTATACCATGATGAGTTGTGTTCATACACGACAGCTGCACTTCGATCCACAGATTATTAAGCTTAATGTGAGAATTACCAGACAAAATTCAATGGTCTGTGTTATGCATGAGGCAAGACCAGAAAACCTAATAGCCATAAAAAACCATGACGGTCTTAAACAAATTCTTTCATTTCTGCAAACACGTAGAAATAACTTATTCTTCAAAAAGACAGTAAGTCTAGTAAGAAGTAACATAATTTAATCAAACAGTGAGGAAACTAAAAACTGAAGCCAGATGAGTATGAACTACTGCACAAGGAAAAATGCATGATCAGAAAAGTAGCAACGCCTGTGAACTGGCCCTGGAAATACTCAGCAAACCACCCTTCTCACCACATTCAGCATTTCTTACCCTAGGAGAAACAAAAGGACCATAAAAAGCCAGGGA